TACCAACTCTCCTATCGTTATCCTATTAGATGCACAGTATGACAACTCGTGCATATTATTATGCCGCCGTTCAATTTCGAAAATTGTATCCATTACGTCATATTTTTTATGTCGAATGTCGTCACAGCCCGTTGCAAATTCCGTTGATTCCGACAAAGTCACGTCGCGTGCACCCTCCATAATGTCAGCGTCACGTCTGTGATAATTTGCAGCAGCCAGGATTGCGCTGCGCGCGGGAAAGTATGGCCTAAGACCCTCTTATGAAGTCTTGATTTCAAACTGTTATCTCCCTTATCTATTGATATGCGGTGGTGGCTCTCCTCGAACCTTAGTCCAGCGAATCGGCAAAGCAGGGACGACAGTCTTCTGTCATTTCTCGTCGTCGTTTCGGCGTGTAACGTGTCCTGGTCGTGTTCTTGAGTGCTGCCGTAGTCGTGTTTTGACACACTTGGATTGAGTAATAATAAGTGTGTCTGGTCTGGTGCTTCAATTCCTGAATTCCCTTCTGTGTGCTGGATGTTCACGAGAGAGTTGAGCTCTTGCACTGAAAAAGGCAGAGATTGTAACAGTCGGCGTTTTTGTTTTGTTCCATCATGGTTAGTGCCGATCGTATGCCAGCGCGCACGTGTCTCAACACTCATATAGAAATAGTATTATGGTTTCACTTTGTTATCCTTTCACTCATTATATCAGGTGCAATATGCATGCTTTTAAAGATAGATAGATAGATAGATAGATAGATAGATAGATAGATAGATAGATAGATAGATAGATAGATAGATAGATAGATAGATGCATGCTTTGATAGATAGATAGATAGATAGATAGATAGATAGATAGATAGATAGATAGATGCATGCTTTGATAGGTAGATATGATAGATAGATAGATAAATAGATAGATTGATAGATATGATAGATAGATGCATGCTGTGATAGATAGATAGATAGATTGATAGATAGATAGATAGATAGATAGATAGATAGATATGCACCAAGCACATAGGTAGGTAGGTAGATACGTTGGTAACTCGTTAAGAACAGATCCCGCTGGGACAAGAAGAGAGCTGCTCTATGTAATGCTTGGAGTCAGCAATACCCGCGTGTCGGCTTCTTGTGCCCTTTGACCCTGACGCTTTTGGGTCATAGGCGCCTCTCCAGTGTTGCCTTGCCCTTCTGCTTTACTAGTTTCATTTTTGTTTTGTTGTTGATTTATGTCGTTGTTGTTGCTGCTGCTGTTGCCGTTGTTGTTATTTTAGTTTGTAATATTTCTTTGGTTTCTATTGTTGTTGGGTTTATTTTTGGGATGGTAGGTAGAGGGCAGCGGATATAGGAGAAAGGGGGGACTGATTGAGAGGTCCAATCAACCACCTCGAAGGGACCGGAAAGGGGGCAGGAGGGGGAGAAAGGAGGGGGGGGGGGTGCAACTATTTTAACCCGACCCTAATAACTTGCTGAATCTCTGTATTGTAATGCTGTGCGACAACGTGTCTAGCCATCTGTGTTTGCAATGAATTCATTACTTTGTAAAAGTAAACTTTAGCCTTCAGTTCGGAATTTCATTTGACCTTGTACGCACATCCGGTGGTTCCCGGTCTCTGAGTGGTTACTTTGGGTCGCTGTGACGTCATGTGCTTACGACGCTTTTACTTTATTATGAGAATAACGGGGACTCACACACACACACACACACACACACACACACATA